ATATACTTAATTATAAAAAAATATATCAAATAAAGAATAATCCAGCTAGCTCAATTTTGCGCAGTCCATTTATTGATTTTTATTAAATATTATTTAAAATAATAAACTAAACCAGATGTAACATAATATAAATATAAATAAATAAAAATCAGATGACATCAAAATAGATGATTTCTTAGGTATAAACAATTTTCTAGATAAATTTAATGTTACAAATTCAATTTTAAAAAAAGTATCGGATTGAGTATATAAATCGTATTGAGTATGTTGATACTATTGCATAATAGTAAATATTTGTTTTACAATAATTTTAAGAATTACCTTACAACTATAAGGTTATTTTTGAATTCCCAATTTAAGCTATTAAATAATATTAAATTTAAACTTTTTCAAATAGCTAAATCCCATCCAATTACTAAAATTCGCTTCATATAGTGTCCGGTTCATAAAGGTATTAATGATAATAAGCAAGCAAATTTAGCAATTTGAAACTCATTTAAGTTATTGCATCTAATGAATTCGATCGTTCAACGTTCAGAATTATGATAAAAGAAGTTTTGTTATATATCAAATTGATTAAAAAAAGACATATTTTCATTCTAGAAAACATCTCTGTCAATAATGATAACTAAACGATTTTCGTCATTGCAAGCCTCGTATCCTCGTATGTGCTATTTATATGTATGCGAATATAAAAGTAAACTCACATTTGCACGTATTTTAAATAAAAACTAATACGAAGACATAACTTAATTGTGTCAATTCTATTTAATTATATCCAATATTTATCACTCAAAAAATGATCTTGCAGTTATAGCGAAAATTATCTAAGTACGAAAAATAGCTAAACTAGATAAATTTCTAGCAAGTACTGCGATATTTAACATGTATTACACCTAATCATATAGATGACGGAGATAGAATTTAAATTTGTGCTATAAATTCTGTGTATGATACATAATTTTCTATCAAATACAAAAAACAGATATAATTCTAGCTGGAACAGCAAAATATTTTTTGTGTGATATTTTTGGCTCGATTACATAGCCTGAGAATAAAGTTAAGAGAATAAAGCGTTTGGCAATTGTTTAATAGAAGAATGACTTGTTTACTTCAAATTCCAGTTCCGATTCTATTAAAAAGAATAATCGAGCTGGACTGCTCGACAACTGCAAAGATAGAAATGTAAATCATATTAAACAATTGTCTAAGAGATTTCCATCTTTTTTTTGTGCAAGACGCGAATGTACGCTTTGTCCATTATTTATAGATTAATAATTATTATACAACTGTTTAAAACAGAATACAGATGTTAGGTAACTGGGATATTCAGTGAAGAAATTAGGACTACTATATGCATTACTACATAATAATCTTTTATATGTTATTGTAAAATAATCATAATTCAAAATATCTTTGTCTGATAATTAATAATTCTTTAATGTCAGTTTAATTTTTCGTCGTTATGGCGAATTTGCCACAGAATGTATTGAAAAATCGAAATGTATGATCTTTTTCACGCCATTTAATTATATTTTTGGCATTTTTACGTAACCATTGAAGAGAGATTGATTTAATGGCCGATACTGGATTTGATAAAAAAATGGTCGATTTATGTTGATCTCTGATACACTGATCATAGCACTGGCAAGTACAAATTCCACAACTGTGAACAGAACATAAAGAATTGCTTATTATGCGTACTTGATCGTTTAAGATTTTTTTCATATAAATATATGTTCTGTTGCCGCTTTTTCGAGTTTTATACTTCTTTTTTATCAGTACCAAAACTACTTTTGCAGGAAAATTCTTATGACTATTTAGAGATATGTAATTTATAAATTTAAAAAATAATTTAGAAGCAAATGCACACACATGTTTACATGTTATTTGCTGATATAAACCATGCATCTTAATCATTGATGTTATTTGCTGATATAAACCATGCATCTTAATCATTGATGTTATTTGAAAATAGAAAAGACAAGGAGTGTCGAAAAAAAGATTTTTTTAATTTATTGTGAGATTGAGCAAATGCTATAAGAATGTATAGATAAAACAATTATATATAGTCACATCAAGAAGAAATAACTTGCTAATATCATTTATTTAAATTTACTAATAAATCTTTTAATGTATCAAACATTAGTTATTTCGACACCATTATTAATTATTTAAAAGACAATGTATGTTTCGCCGCTAAATAATGCTTTCTATAGTACAGAAGTTCAATAATTAAATATCACAAATTGTAAAAATAATTAAATGTTACGATTATATAAACATCGAAATGTTTGAGATTTTAATATCACATTGTTATAATTAGAATGAATAAGAATTACAAACATAACAATTTAAAACTGTTCAACTAACATAAAAATGCATAAAATACATAAAACAACATATAAAAAGCTTAATAATATCGAAGATTTTGCTTATATGTAGCTTATGACATCGGCAATTAAATTTATAAATTATTGACGATATTTATTGTAAAGAATATCTATATTTCTGGATTATTCACATGACCGTTGAACAAAGATACGAACGATGTTCCCTCGTTATGACAAATATAATAATAAAATGGTCGATTTACATCGAATTCTAATGGATTACTAATTGTTACACTGCTCAACTGAACAAATACAGCTGTAAACAAAATATAAAAAATCATTAGGTATTTCGTGTTCATTTAAAACTGTTCATGCATATTACGAACATATGCTTTGATAGCTTCTAAACTTGCAAAGATAGCTTCTAAACTTTTTATTCAAATGATTATACTGCCAAATGATTCTCGTAATCATTGCATAATCTAATTGCACAAAAGATGGTTCAGAATATGAATATATAAACATATATGTCATTAAATTAATAATACATGATGAAATTGATAAAAAAAAAAACAGAAGCAGATAGATTCAGCTGATTTTATTTTTTACAGAATAAAATCTATTGCATTTCTGGTACATTCACAAGACCCTCAAATAAAGGCACGAATGATGTTCCCCCGTTATTATAACGAATATAATAATAAAACGATCGATTTACGTCAAATTCTAACGATTCCCGAATTATTACACTGGTTCCTTTACCTACTAGAGCTGTGAACAGAATATAAAAAAATCATTATATATTTTCGTATTTATTTAAAACTTTCCATGTATGACACGAACGTATTCTGTCGAGGGTAATATCTTAACTTTCTATTCAAATTATACTACAAAATTCTCGTAATCATCTAGCTACATAAAGATGATTTAAAACAAATATGTATAATGTTATTAAATGAATAATGCGTATAGTTGAAGATACACAAACAAAAGCAGACAGATGAAGATATTTAGCTGATTTAATTTTTTATAGAGTAAAATTTATTGCATTTCTGGTACGTTCACAAGACCCTCGAATAAAGATATGAGCGATTTTCCCGCGTTATGACGAATATAATAATAAAATCGATTTACATCGAATCCTAATTCTCTAATTAAGTTGACAACTGGAGATACTAAAATTGTGAACAAAATATGAAAAAAATCGTTATGTATTTTCTTATTCGCTTTTCACATGGCCTTCAAATAAAGGTGATATGAACGATGCGTTCCCGTTATAATAAATGTGATAATGGAACGGTCGATTTACGTTAAATACTACAGGTTTCACAATATTTACGCTTCTCACATGGCCTTCAAATAAAGGTATGAACGATGTTCTCCCGTTATAATAAATGTAATAATAGAACGGTCGATTTACGTTAAATACTACAGGTTCCACAATATTTATCCAAGCAACTTCCAAGAATGTTATAACTGTGAACAAAATATAAGAAATCGCTCGTTATACGTTCGCTTAACCTTAGAACGTACGAAATCATTGAGCGCTAAGACATGCCTTCAGTGATCAGTAGGAGATCCAAATCTACCACTGTAAAAAAAGCTGAAGATAGAGTGTCATTCACCAAAGCAGAGACAAGCTTTTAAAAATTTAGATATGTATCAATTTAAACCTCCTGGTGATCAGTATTAAAAGAAATTTGATAATGTATTTATTCTTTTTTCTTTTTTCAAATTAATAATTAGATTTGTGTTTATAAAAGTTTATCGGATCTATTTATTACACATTATAATATTTTATCATATAAATATTTTATCATTAAAATTTTTTATCATTAAAAATTTTGCGTATGAAAATCTTATATTATATTAACTAAGAATGACCTATTTTTTCCATAAAATTTATGTATCAGTAGCAATATTACTCAATACTAGTATTTTAGGGTTAAGCATTTCGATTTTTTTCAAACTTTTATTTTGTCGACACTGTTTCGAATTTAATATGGGTATAATGTCTCGTCCATTATTTCACCAAATAATTCTTTCGTTCATATAGAGGTGATTTAGAAAATACAGGAAGTATTTTATCGCTAGTAAACGATGCATTTTATTTGAAAAGAATAGAATAAGATATTACATAAAAGTCAACAGTTTGACATTTTTAAATCAGTTATTATAATGAGATCGAAAAACGTTTAGCTAAAACAATAATTATAACAAACATACCAATTAGAGTATTTTATAGTTTGAGTTTGCTAATAAATGAGAATGAGTATCGAGCAATAAATTTTCAGATTACAAATTTTTTGCGTGGTACATCTTTGACATATTCACATGATTTATGAACAAAGATATCAATAATCTATTGTTATTTATATAATGAATATCATAATAAATATTGTTATTTATATAACGAATATCATAATCGGTTTCGAAAATTTATGTATATGCATCTATATTTATAATAACTAAACCCTTATTGTAAAGGAAAAACGTCCTTTATTATAAAGGACATCTTTTATTTTAGGTAGCTGTTCTTTAGATTTGTTTCTTCAAAACTCAATTTTATCCTTTATTTTCCAATATTGTCCTTTATCGTCCTTTATTTTGAGATTACGGGAAATTCTTTTCTAACTAGCGTTCTAATGTCTAATATTATATTAATGAAAACAAATTTTTATGGAAAATATTTTACAGTTTCATACATATAAATACAATTTGTTCTTGTTAATTATATTTCTTAAATTTAAAATTAAATTTATTTAAACAGTTGTTTTCATTATTTTTTATTATTTCGAATCTTATTATTGTATTTCAGATCAAAGATTTGTTCCAATACAGTCGAACCAGTTTCAACTATCAGAAAACTGCGCATTATCTCAATTTGATTATGTGCAATAAAATTTTATAATGTACAAATTCTTGACAGTCACAAACAAGTATAGTAGTTTGAAAATATGTAGGAACAAAACCCTAAAATTTTCAGATTTATCCTTTATGCTTAAAAAAAATATGCTCACCGTACCTATACTAACTAATAAGTAACACAAACGATTTTAAATCTCTCTTGCGAACAAAATAACAGTCTGCATAACGATTCTTATTGATTTGTTTCTTTTTTGTCAATGCAATCCCTGTACAAATGTTTGCATATCTCGAATTTAACTTGGTTCTCTTTTTTTCTTCTCTTCCGTTCTTTTCTCGCTGTTAACAATTATTTATAACGTTTGCGCCTAATTTATTCGAATCTTTATGTTCGTAAAATTCTTATAATTGAATTATTGGTGTCTCAATAAACAGTGATTATAGCTGTATTTCAATATACACTGCCAGTACTGAAAATCTATAGTTTACGTTATGTAAATGTATACTGTAGATTTTCAATACTGATAGTGCATATTGGAACACAGCCTATATCGTTGTAGTCAATTGCGAGGTAATCGATTTGTGTAAAATATGAAGAAATTACAAGAATCGCAAGTGATAAAATTAATGCAAAAAGAAAAAAAAGAATAAGCAGATTAATAAGAGATCTTACAGATCGTTTAGCTCCTATACATTTTATGATGTTCACACATGCGACTCATCTCGTTAACTTCTTAAGCTCGGATCATTTACGACGCCTCGGAATAATTCGAAATCGTTTGACCATCTCATTACGAATAAAAGTGGCCTGTTCGCTTCGAAGTTCTTGAAATTGGGTAGAAATCTTCGATTGCTAATGCCTACCAGACAAATGTCAAATTTCTACCATGTAATCTTTTACACTAAGATTTGAAAAAGCAATCAAAAGAAACATCAAAGTGCTTTTAAATGAATTGGCTCAAAAATTGGCTCAGATTTGTTAGCAGTTTTAATTTTTCATTTATAAAAAAATTTATATATTATTTTTGTGTAACAGTAATATATAT